ATGTTCTGTTGTAACTAACTAGTTCCTTATCTCTTGTATTTCTTCCCTTCCAAGTTGTAATCTCCATGTAATCTCCAACAAACTCCTGTACGCGCTATCAGGTTCGCACCTTGTCTATATAACACGCAACACGTCGCCCTAGATTGGGTAAGACGTTTCCGCATCTCGCACATCCACCACATGTAATTAACCTAACCAATTGAGCGATACTCAGTTCACTAAACAAGACTCAATTTGAAAAGTGTCCCACTCGAACAAGTGGGTTATTCATCTCCTCAAGAGGAAGACATCATGCATGTCCACAAGCGGAGGCCTTGGATATCTCCAGATATGAAGGCCTTGGAGCGGGGAAGAAGCCTATTCTCCATTATCCAATTTTTAGTTTGCCATGTAGTCCTATACATAACTCTAGGTTTAGATGGGACAAAAACACTTAGGAGCTACCACCGTGCAAACTTAATTCTACGTGCATGCAGATGCTTCACATGATGGGACAATATCATTGGAATGACCTTCTACCTAGTAACTCTACCAGCACCAAAATTCTCCTTTCATTTCTCCTTCTTCTTGTGCCCTTCTTGCACCAGGACTATTTCTATTGTGGAGCTGGAGCATCATTCTTATTGTACTTGGAAGAGGGGTGAAACTCAATTCCCTCCTTGACAACACACTACTTTTGGTTGCTCAAGAGGTCACTGAATTTTTTTTCTCATCTTTAATGCAAGACACAAGCCCTTCCTCTCTTTGGGCTCTCAATTTTTATTTTCCTCTCGGAGAGAATAGAAATCAAGAACGGATTTAGGGGTACAAGTGTTAGCATGCACTTCAATGTGAGGGGCGGAAGTAAGAGCCTTTAGGGTGGAAGCTTTAAGTTGAGCATAAGACTCGGATAAATATAGACTCGGATAAATTACTGCTTATAGACATGGATGTGCTAATTTGTGAATTTCTTTCATGTCTCGACCTTGATTAATATAGTTAGTCACAGAGTTGGACAGTCAACGTACGGGTCTTAAAAATCATGTAGAAGTTTATTAAATTCTCCCGCTTTTCTGCCATTTCCTGGCCTTGGGATCAAAATCCAAGTATTCATCTAATCTCTGGGAAAATAAGAAATCAAGTGAAGTCAAGGAAGAAGCCCCTCCTACGGACTCGAGAACAGCTTAGAGTTATCAACTAGATCTGAGAGACCTGGAAAATGCTCGGAGCATTGAGGTGGCCTCGTCTTGAGGAATCTAGCCATTAGTCGAGCACTCTTTGGATCGTTTCTCATAACATGCACGAGGAGAAGATCGAAATTGGTTCTTTTTTTTTAGAGAAAAGACTCAGCCTGAGCGTGAAGTAGGCTTAGACCTAACTCGGTTTTGAATTAACAAAGCCATCAACTGAGCAAGACTACATGAACAGAATATAAATGACACAGAAAATGACAACAAGAAACATCCGAAAGATACAAGACGACACTTTGAATTTACAACACATTGCAGAGTTAGCTACTAGAGATACATAGTTAGAGCACAACTAGCATAAGCCGATGACCGCAACTCCCAGGCGCTAAGGACAAACAGAGGAGGAGCACCGCTAGGACAACTTGAACTAAATGGATGGCATGAACAAGGATGAGCTCTGGAAAGGTGAAAACAACACCTCCCTCCACCGGCGAAGAGGGCCACAACCCTCTCGTCTTGACTCGAAAGACGACGTACTGTCAGACATGGGATATGCTCACCGAGAGCTTGACAGAACATATACCAAGGTCCAGAGAAAACACAGGTCATGGCCTACTCGAGCCTGGAACGTCTGAATGCAGCAGGAAAGTCACCAAGAGAAGTAGCAGAGAGGTGGACAACAGGGTAACGAGACACCACACCGTCATTGCACCCGCCGCCGGCCAAAGCCCCACCTTCAGCAACCCACACCTGAACCCAAAACTCCCCAAGCAATGCCTCCATGAAGAGAACGACACACACGACACCGTCGCTGCCCAATGAAGGCCGAATTTTGGGGTTTCACCTGGGAGAGGTAACAGAGGTGGGAAGAATGGGAACCACAACACTACCTCCAAGAAGGAAACGTTGCCCAAAGGTCGACGTCGCTGACGGGCTGAAAGCCAGGGGTTTGCCCCAGCCCCGATCTGCACCACCAACCCGAAACTCCACTGGATCCATCAGCAAGCCGCAGGAAAACAGACGCAGATGGAGAAGGGGTGACAGACCTTCCCATTTGGCAAGGAAGGAGGCGTCCATGCTGCAGTCGCCAGGTGCCGACGCCCCACCACCCAGATGGTCAAGGATGCTAGCCTGAGCCCCCTGCGAATGCCGTACATGGCAAGAATGGTAACACCACACCGGCATGGGCCGCCGCCCCAAGGATCCAGATCTTCTGCGGCCGGAGCGACGAGGGCCTCGCAGCCACCGTCACCCACGGCCGGGCGGGCTTGCCCAGCGACCTCCTCGGGTGGCAGCGAGGAGGGGAGGAGGGGTGGAGGTGGCAACGCTCGGGAACCCTAGCAGCCGCTCGAGGGGGAGACACGGGGGCTTTGAGGGGAGGGCATAATTGGTTCTTCGACTCCCAACATATCATATCCAAAAGCATTCACGCCATTAATCTCTCCAAGCATCACCGGGAATTCCTGAAATGAATTCAGAAAAAGCGACCACCCGCAATAAGGCTAGGACTTGAATCCGGATTGACAGAATCCACCAGAACCATGCTCAGTTAGCTCAATAAGACTTAAGTTGAAATTGTTTCCCACTCCACTTGGTTCATGGATTCTAACATTCACATAACAAAAAAGCAAGAACACCGTGCGGAATTCATCTCTTCAAGAGGAAGATACATGTCCACACCGGGAGGCATTAGATACATCTCCATTAAAGAGAACTGATCAAACTGCTAGGAACTTAGCTGACACATTGTTAAATGTCATCTAGATGATAATTAACAACTCCATTTTGAAAAAAGTTCATGCATTTAAAGCAAATAAATAAAGAATAAAAAATAAAAAGGCCAAAATGACAAAAGACATACAAAGAATAAATAAAAAATCATGAGTTCCGAAAAAGTTCATGCATCTAAACAAAAAAAACAAAATCAAAAAATAAAAAGGAAAAGCAAAAAAAGAGGAAATAAAAACGGAACCACAGCTCAACGGGAGAGAAAGAGCGCAGCGAGTCCTGTTACTCTATACAAAACTAAACCGCACCCACGCGAGGGGAAGAAGCTGCAGCCTGCACAAAATCAAAATCAAAACCGCGAAATGGCCGTAAAACGGATGCATAGCGGCCGAAAACGGACGCAAGCCGTGAAATGGGCCGACAACATGACAACACTGCATGGATTAAAGCAATGCACGAAAAGTTCGGCAACAAAAATCGTACAATTTGAAAACTTAGATGAGACGTGACTAAATCTCATCTATATGAGATTTAGCAAATCTGTACAAAAAAAAACGAAGTCACAACACATGTGAAACAGAGGTCCATATTCTCACACCCACGCAGACACATGTCACAACGAGAAAATGGCCAACAGGGCGACGCGAAAAACCAGCCCGACAACAAAGGCACAAGCACGACACGAGGCACAGTGCGCATGAACAAAACAGGTTAGCGAAACTTACATATTTGATCGTGTATTAAACAATTTAGATGTGACATAGCTGAAAATCATCTAGACGAGAATTAGCAAATCCTAAATTTAAAATGAAAATAGAGAATATAAATGTACTAAAAAGCATGAATTTTTTAAACAAATAAATGAACAAATAAAAACAAAAACAAAAAAGGAAAAGAAAAAGGATAGCAAATATTTTTTTTAATTTTTACAAAATAGCAAACAGAAAAACAAAAAACCGGTCGAAGCTTGTAGCCTAAAACCGAGATATGAGAGGTCACGGATACACCTCCTATAAAATGCTGATTCTTCTGTTCATGCACCAAGGCACATAACGTCATGGAGACGCGGTGGATCTCAGTCCTTGCTGGCGGGAGAGCTTTGCTTATAGTTTTTTTTTTTTGAGTTTTGGTAAGGTTTTCTGTCTTCCTCAGAAAGGCGAGGCAGCGACCGGCTTTCTGAATATAGAATAAGTTTCACCTCGCCTAACCCCTATTTAGATAGTATTTGTGAAAGTTCGTCTCTGGCAGATCTCGCGCGATTTGGTCGGCATTTGTCTTTGGTGGATCCACTTGGATCCATTCTTCGTTCGGTTATGTTCATGTTTAGATTCTTCCGATCTACGCTTCTCTTCATCGACGGCGGTTACTGTTCTGGTGCGCTGGTCCTCTAGGGCCTTCGCACGACGACTTCCCGACTGTCTACTACGAAAAAGTTTGCTCGGCTCGGCAGCTCTGATGATAGAGGGGCGATATAGGCGGCGCGCCTTCGGCTCGCTCTAGTGCTTGTAGTCGTTGCTAAGTGGTATACAGATGTGGATGTAATTTTACTTTTGGCATTGTTGGTATTACCTTACAGTTGATGAATATATCGAAAGATTTATTCAAAAAATAGAGATTGCCACGTGTTCATCTTATCTTAGTTGACATACTCTAATCACATCTGATCTCATTGCATCGAGATTGGGAGTGCCTCGATTAAGCTCGCTGCAGCCGTACGTGGGCACATGCATTTGATTCGATATGTCTCGTGTCTCTTCAATGTTTGTAGCCTGGAATCCTGGATGGATATGGTAAAAACAAATCTCAACTCAATGTATGGAGTCATGCACGCGCAACATGCGTGCAGTTAACAAGCAGTAGATCACGTGACGCACGCGTCCGGCAGTGCCTGCCTTTATCAACGTGGCAGCAGCTTTTGTGCACGCAGCTCGTCTCCAGATCCAGATCTACCTAGCTATAGCTCGCATAATCAGTAGCTGGGTTTGTCTCCGTGTCGCCTCCCGATTGGTCCGAGGAGGCTACATATACCGGTGCAAATGAACAACCCACAAGCACACATACACACAGAGAGGGAACGAAGCAGTAATAATCAATCAACCAGCCATGAAGGGAAGCGGCACCGCCGTCGTGCTGATTCTCTCGCTCGCAGTCCTCCTCGTCCTGGGCGCCGCCGTCGCCGACGACGCCATCATTCGCCTCCACTCCGGTGAGCTTTGAAATTAGCCTCAGATGGTTTATAGTTAGTCAGCTGGATGTGTGCGTGAGCTCGTCGCGGATCTTGTTGCAGATGCGGTGACGGAGGAGACGAGGCCGTGGGACTGCTGCGACCACCCCGTGTGCACCAAGAGGAGCTGGTGCGGCTGCAAGGACGTCGTCGATCAGTGCTTCCCCACCTGCAAGAACTGCAAGCCGGCGAAGCGAGCGGACGAGTCGGCCCCTTCCGGCTACATGTGCCGGGAGACCTACCACGGCAGTCCCGGGCCCAAGTGCATGCTCTGATTCTGATATCCGTTTGTTGTTCAAGAGATGGGCTGTGCTAGCTGCTGTATGTGATGTTGTAGCACTACTACGCTAGCTGCTGGTGAGCCTAGCTGTACGGCAGCGATTGAATAAGATTTGGACACTTACCTTCTTAGGAGCAATAGTATTGCCGTTTAATGAAGAAAGATAACAAAAAAGTTTCACAAAACTTGCACACAACTTCGTTTTAAACTTGCAATTTTTGTAGCATGCAATGATAACAAAATAGTGTAGTTTTCACAGATATTACATAGTAATTATGTGAGTACATTTCCACTCACCCAACATTCCAAAAATACCCACAAAATAAAAATAAAAATCAAGTAACAAAGAAAAAACAAAAACAAAAGCAAAACAGATAAAAACAGAAAATAAACAAACAGATAGATAGGAGGGCTGGATCGCACATTTACTAAGCTTCAGATCAGTAGCAAATCGACTGACCCAAATATGGGGTCAATTGAAAATATAAGCCCAACGGAACAAACATCACAGTCGTGAAAAAAAACGAAGCACGAATCTTGGAACAACAATCAACTACCAAGAAATTAAATGACTCAAATTCAAACTTCAGGCAACCTACAAGTAGCTAAAATTAATGATTTTAGAAATAGAACTTTGGTCAAACTGGATGAAAGTTTCATGCAGTTTCATGGTTCATGCCGTTTCATCATGAAATGGAAGACACCCGCACCATTCAGTTATTAAAGATAAGATTGAATAGAACTCTGTCTTGTACTTCCTTCGTCCCAAAATAAGTGTCTTAAGCTTAGTATAAATTTTTACTAAAATTAGTACAAAGTTGAGACACTTAGAGCATCTATCTACAGCCGGACCTCTCAAAGCCGCCACATACGCCCGGGCGGGCTGCCTGGTCACGTTTTTTCGATCTAGACGGACGCCTCAAACAGGCCTCAAACGTCCGGACTGACCGACACCCCTATATTCAACCCGAATGTGGGGCGGGTATGGGGTGGTCCGGGCGCGTCCGCCTGACAAGCCCAGCCCACTACGGACCCCATGGATGCCCCACGAAAAAGCCCATCGACCTCGTCGGTCCGAAACTCGAGCTCACTTCACTCTCCTCTCTCACTCCGTCCTCTCCTCTCCCCTCACCGATTCCGATCGAATCCGGCGCAATGTCAAGCTCCGGCAGCCTCTCCGATGAAGATGTGGATCCAAAGTATGAGCTTGCCCTCCGTGTCGCCTTGGAGCTATCCAAGGTGGACACCGGGGGCAGCTCCGGTTCTGCAGCCTCGCCAAGCCGCCGCTTCCCCGTCGGCGCATCACGGACGTCGACACTTGCCCCTCCCGGCCCATGCGCAGCTCTGACAGGCGGCCAGCGCGATCGGCGCCTCCCCCAAGCTGTCCCTTTGCCTCGTCGGCTGCTGCTTCCCCACGCCGTCCCCTCACCTTGCTGGCTGCTACTCCCCCTCGTGGGCAGCGGTGGGTGCTTGTGCCCTCCCCGCCCGCCCGGATGCGCACGCCAGAGTCGGAGGCGCGCGCCGCCCGCCGCGAGAGGCAGCGGGCAAGGGAGAGGGAGGCTGTGGAGAGCTCTGTCCAACGCCGGCGTAGGTTACCGGCGGAGCTTGAGGAGGACCAGCGACCCCTCACGTGGGTCTACTGCCGGTCGCTTACGACGGCGGAGACGGACGCTCGGCTGCTCCGCCGGAAGAACGCTAAGGATCTTTGGCTTACCATCGAGCAGTCCGAGCGGGAGCATTGGAGAAGGCGAAGGAGACAGCTCGGCTGGCCAAGCTCAGGCGCCAGCAGGACCGGGTTGTCCAGTGCGTCAAGGGCCTCGTCATCATCGACTCCTCCTCCGACGACGACGGTGGCTCCTCCTCCGACGAATCGGACGATCCTCCACCAGCCGACAATGGTTACAGCTATGCCGGCGACCAGAAGGTGAAAGGGACGGCCCGGAAGTGGTGAGGTTGATTTTAATTTCAAGTTTTAGATGTAGTATAATGTTGTCCGTCGTTTATGTGAACTTTGGTGGATCTTTTGGTGAACCATTTTGCAATTTCTATGTCGGGAGCTAATCTACGTAATTTGATCGACGTTGCATGATATAGTATGGATATAGGGGTTCGGATATGAGAGACACGGATGTGGACGACACAATTTAAGGTGTGCCCGGTCATTGTCCGCGGACACGTCGAGACGTCACGTGTCCGCGGGCGTTTGAGGGCCTGAATTTGCCAAGTCCGGCTGTAGATGCTCTTATTTGGGATCGAGGGAGTACATGATTGCTTATCCATTTTTTATTTTATGTATAATCACAAACTGCAGGCTGCTGCAGCAGCAAGGAAGGAGTAGGGACGTAGCGACTCGATCATGGTGCACACCAACGCGTGCGCGTGCTAGTTACCGCCGGCGGCAAGAGCCTCTGGCGGCGTGCATGTGGGCGGGATGGCCCCGGTGAACGCGTCCTTGCAGACGTTGAGGGACGGGTTCGACGTGGACGCTTCGCAGCTCTTGCAGGTGGGAGCGCACTGCTCGACCTCGTCCCCGCAGCGGCACGTCGGCGGGTCTGTCTTGGTGCACGCCGCCGAGTCGCAGCACTCCCACGGCCGGCATATAGGCCCGGGGTCGCCGACGTACTGGTCTTGGCAGACCTGGAGGGACGGGTTCCGCGTCGACGGCACGCATGCCTTGCAGGTGGAGGCGCACTCGAACGCCTCGTCCACGCAGGTGCAGATCGGCGGGATGGACCTGGTACACCGCGGCCGGTCACAGCACTTCCACGGCCTCGGCGCCGCCATGGCTGCTTGCTGGTCTGCAACTGCGAGCCCTCAGTTAACGTGGTGAAGCTGCGATCAGTTTCTTCATGGATCATGGATGCATGATGAAGCCATGAACTAGAGAAAGGAGTTCACGCGCGCCCAACCGTACCTTGGCCTTGGCTCGGCAGGAGAATGGTACCCACCTCGTCGTCTACAGAGGGGCGGTCGGCGATGAGGAGGGCCGCCTCCAGTGAAAGCATCAGCAAGATGCTAGGAACGATGCATCGCTTCATCCCCATGGCGTGCTTACTGAGCTTGCTTGTGCGCTTGAAACTGGCAAGCTAGCGGCCAGCAGTATATGTAGCCTCGTGACACCGATGGATGACCTAACGCGTGGAAATCGCTACCAATGCAAGGAGCAGACTTGAATACGCAAACATGGCAGCTCTCTATCACATATGCGTGGATAAGGACTATAGAATGATGACAAAGTGTTGACTAAAACCGTATATGCGCGTTTTCCATTGATTGTAGCATGGGTACGCTGACAATGGAACAGGATAACTGACGGTACGTCCGGAATTGACTGATGGATAAAATGCATTGCGTCCACACCACGCTTCTTCACTCGTGGGTAACGCTACATCCGGATTTGCTGGATGAGAATTAACAAAGTCTAGTCTAACTCCTACCCTACTTGATTAAGCAAACACATAAAAAAAGAACAAAATTCCTACGAATCCCAGCGTAAAACCCAACAATGTAGAAGTTAGATGAGACATACTAATTTCTCATTGTACATGAGAGCTAGACAAACCCCAAATCAAGATTTGCTAATTCAAAATGGTTGACCTATTAGAAATTTTGCGGTGTGCAAGGACCTATTAGAAATTTTGCAGTGTTTGGGCATTCAAGGGCCTCTAGTTAAAAAAGAAATCTGGTTTTGGAAAAGCTTTAAAAAGCTAGATTGAGTTAACAAAGCATTGGATGAGTGTCCAGTGAGATGGTTCACTTTCTCACACTTTCCTATTTCCAGGTATGGAGTTCCATCAGGCGTCCCTTTGTCAGCGGCTCAAGATTTGTGAGCCAAAAAATGCCATACGATCATTGGTTTTCATATGCCTTTTCCAGTTGAAAAGAGAAACCCATTTCTGAGAGAAAATACACTTCAAAACACAAATAGAACTAGGTTTCTTCAGGCATGTTTCCCGGGATTTTTAAGAAGGTTTTTAGTTAAGCATTTTTACCTAAACCAGATTTATCCATCTCTGTTTTTGTAATTTAGTATTAAAATTTCCGAGGCTTCAGTTGGGAAAGTTTGGAATACAAAAATAGATCTTGGTCAAACTATGATCATTTCTAGACTAGACAATATGCATGTGTTCTCGCAAAAAAACTGTTCATGTGATATTAATATCATAGTTTCTAGCATTTGTTAGATGGTTTAAAAATAAAAAAATACTTATAAGAAATTTATTTTGAAGTGGGATGATAGATAATTGTATAGTACTATACATAGAAATGGTTTTTAACAATTTCGTGTTTTGGAAACATTTAGGTTTTCTCGCAAATTAATTTGCTGTAAATACTTTTGGGACCAATCCCACTAGGGATAATTAGATGATTTTCTTTGCATTTTATCACATTTTATTTGGTTGTCAATTTTTTTGTTGAATTGATCTAAAGATCCAAGTAAGAAGCAAATCGTGCCTGCTTTTATTTACTGTGGATTTTATATTCTTAAATATTGATAATGTCCATATTTGTAAACACATAATGTGACAACAGACCTTCATGGCTGGAGATTGGATATTAGGAATGAGGTGAGTTTTTTTTCCTTTAATGCCACAGTTGGGTCTAACAGTGATATGGCAAAAACGGAGCCCATCACTAACGGCCGGTCCTTGTCCAGTGGCGGAGCATGACCAAAGCATAAGAAGGGGCCAATTCTATATAAAAAAAAGGGATCGCCTGGAACTCGTTCGACTGAGAAATAGATTGGTCTCAGTCGAATGACGTGGTGATGACGTCGTGTGCTATCTGTCTCAGCCCGATCATCTGGCAGGCCCGAGCCAGCCTCCTTTCTCTCCCGCACAAAGCCCAATTGGGCTGAATCCAATCCCAGGCCCTTTGTTCTGTTGTTATTTGTGGGCTGTTCTGTTGTTATTTGTGGGCCTTTTGGCTTGTTTGTTTTGATTGTTCTTGTTGGGCCTTTTCGACTAAAAGGTTGTTCTTGCTTTACAAAAAAACAGAAAAAGACAAAATAAAGCCCTTGCCCAGCTGTACAGGATCAAAAAAGCTGCGTTGCTTTTTGTTCCTCCCTGTTCTTCTCCTGATCGCAGCACATGATCCAGCCCCCCGTCCACAAAAATCACAAACCCTCACCCCCAACCACCCCCACTCCTCCTCCTTCCTCCTCCAGCCCCAGCCACCAGGGCACAAACCTTTCCCCTCAAAAATGGCAATGTGAGCAGAGGAAGGAAGCTGATATGGTCGAAGAAGGCAAGGAGAAGCAAGGAGCAGAGAGAGAAGACAAGAAAAACATGGATGCAGGCAAGGAGAAGCAAGGAGCAGGAACAGATCAGAGGGCACAAAGCACTCACCAGGGTATGCATGCTTCTCCCCTCTCCAGATCTAGGATTCTTGTCTCTCCTTGCCCAGATCATGCATTCTTGTCTCTGTTCTTGTACTATCTTGCCCTTTTATTCTTCAGAATTCTATTGTGAAAACACAAAAAGGCAAAAAATAAAGTCAATAATAAACATACAGAACAACCCCCATAGGAGCAAATTCGTAAAAAAACATGGAGCTTTCTTCCTAGGTGATGCATCCTTCACATACCTGACAAAGAAACTCTTGACATTGATTGCAGCAGTTCTTGATCCCTATGGAGCTACTATGTTTGGTTCTCAGGTTAGTGACTACAAAAAAAAAGCAAATGAAATTTAAATGAACTTCAGAATCTTGCTTGAACTATTCTGGTTATTTGGTTACAGAAATTTCATGTCTGATCTTTTGTACTATTATGGGGAAACACATAAAAACACAGGGGGGTGGGGGCAAAATAGCCAGCAGCAACAGTGGCTGAATTCTAGTGCTTGGAACCAAGGGATGCAACAAACACACCTCTGGATGCAAAATCAGAGGCTTCCACATGCTTCTATTAACAGAACACAAAGGAATGCCCTGAATATTCCAGTGAGTGCAACTATGTATGGTATCTTCAATAATCAAGGCAATACACAGGTATTTCTGTGCTCTTTGAAAAAAATTGCTTTTCAAATTGTCAGTAGACATTTCTGTTAATGTTAAAACTTCTTTGTGCAGGCAAACTTGCCTGTGAACCTGGGTGCACATACTTCAGTGGGTGAGTACAACCAAGTGTCTGCTGTGCTCCAACCCCCTGTAAGTATTTACAGTCTAGAGAAAATGGGATAAAAAAAAGAAAATCTACTACGATTGTTTTACAAGAAATAATGATGCAGGCAAACAAGGTCGCTTATGAAGCCCCTATGTCATACATGCAACTCCTACTTGCTGCTGAAGAAGAGGTTCTCTACTAACATACTCGTGTTTGCTTGACGTAGATAAAAATTGTACTAACTTACGAAAATAAACCCACAAACATTAAAAACATCAAACAAAAATGAAACTAACTAGTGTTGTCTTACTTTTCAGGGTGCTAGAAATGCATCATCTCGATAACAAGAAGATCGCCTTGTTCGTACTGAGGTATGTTTTTTCCTGCTTAAACTTGTGTCTATGTCCCGTAAACAAAAATTGTTTGACTGCTGTGTATAACTATGAAAAAACTCTCTCTACAGAACGATATGTACATGATAACTGGGCGATACAGTGTATCTTCAGAAGATCCATTCCAAGCACATGCTGGCGGTGGAGCTCAGCATACATCTGAAGTCGATGACCAACATGATATAGATCTTGAACCTTTTGTTGACAATCGATTTTCAGAAAGCTTGAATGATTTGAACTGGGACAATGAAATGCAGACAGAAGCAGGAGGAAACAAAAACGGCTCTATGGTGTCAAATGAGATTGCTTCTGACAATGATTCTGATTCCGAGGATGATCTTTCTTTGTCGTTGTTGCAAAACGCCTCTGAAATTGCTGTTACAACTGCTGGAGAACAAGAGAACAGTGGTACAACTGGTGAAGTTCAAAAATTAACACAGGAAGACATACTGATATTCCTTGAAAATGACAGTATAGAAGCTGCTCAAAGTGCTAGCCAAGAAGTGCGCAGCCATCACGTACCCCATGTGGACATGGTCTTTGATACGGATGATGCAGCTTACAACTTTTACAATGAGTATGCCTCAATTGCTGGTTTTTCTGTGATTAAAGCATCTCGCTATTGTGGCAAGAAACAAGGAGGCAGTGCAGCAACTCGGGTAACTTTCAAGTGCAATCGGTCAGGAAGAGTAATTGATGAAGAAGAACAAGAGAATAGGAAGAAGAAACGACGTGACACAAGGCAACAGAAGACAGGACAAGAGCCCTATCGCAACGCAAGGAAGAAAAAAGTAAACACCATTGCAATAACATGATGTAAAGCTCAGCTTATTGTCACCAAGAAGGATGAGAAGTGGGTGATAACAACCATAAACCTAGAGCACAACCATGATTTGAGTCCTCACACAGAAGTGAAATACCTTCGTTCTCATAACTACATGACAGACGAGGAGAAGCTCCTAATCCGAACTTTCAATGTTGTGAAGCTACAAACAAGACAAATAATAGCAATCCTAAGTTACTTGAGAGGCGGGAACACTCCTTACACCAAAAAGCATGTAAGCAATGTTAGAACAACCATTGGCAAAGAGAGCAATCAAAATGACATGATGCAGGTGCTCACATATTTCAGGAAGAGACAAGCTGAAGATCCACACTTTTACTATGCGTTCAAAACAACTAAAGTCTCTGATGACGCAAGTAAAGTTTTGTGCATTTTCTGGGCTGACGGATATTCTAGGAAAATGTATGAGCTGTATGGAGACTGCCTCAGCTTCGACACAACATTCAAGACAAATAGATACAACCTCCCGTTTGCTCCCTTTGTTGGTGTCATGGGACATGGCCAGAACTGTTTGTTGGCTTGCTCTATCATAGAGAATGAAACAGCTGACACCTTTCAATGGTTGTTTGAGACATTCTTGCATTGCATGGGTGGGAAATCTCCGTCCACAATCATAACAGACGAGGATGCTGGGATGAAGACAGCTATTCCTTTAGTTTTCCCGCATATCTGCCACAGGCGTTGTTTGTTTCATATTAAAAA